GTTCAGCTAAGACAGCCTGCTATGCTATCATTTACTTCCCTCTCATATTAGCATGCTCCAGAAAGCACGCCATGTACTTTATGTCTTTTATCCTATTTAATCCTCATAAGAACCGTCGACATTAGCTAATTATCTTATCTTTAGGGTCTTTTGACTCCTTTATCTCCATTATGGTTCTGCTTCCTATCTTTAAATGCCTATTTCTAAGCTCCCAAGGTTTGGGTCTTCATTTGGCTTGTAAAGCATTTTATTTATTAGATTGTTGTAAACTCAACTGGTGTAAACCCAAACTGGCTTAAACCCCATAGCAGCAGCATTAAGAAAAACAATATAAAACAGGCAACAAACTGAAGTTGTCATTCAGTCAGAATCCAAAAAATAAAATAAAATAATAAAGGCAGATCTAACATACGGCTCTGGCTCTAAAGTAATTCATTTGTTTATTTAATCGTTTGATTATTTCTGATCCAGACCCAGAGACATGAGAGATGACACGTGTGTTGGGATGAACGCCCAAATGAATATGTCCGACTTGAGAGCTGTCATGCAGAAGGCAGTATGTAAGATTTTAAAAATCTCAAAATTAATATGTATCTCCCTTCATATCTCCCAATTTGTATATGTGTTCCTTTTGACATTACTAATAGATAAACCCCCAAGGAAAAAGGGGATCTGTCGCACCAAGTACACTAATTAAAGCCGCCATTTAGGGGACCCCCTGCTCAAAGAACCATCAGCTCAAAGTTGAGCCTTGGGAAGGTACACAGCAGTGGTCATGGAATGTCACGCAGGGGACAACTCCACTCCTCCATTGCAACACTAAAGCTTGAAATTTGAGCTTAAGTGCCACTGCTGGGCACTACTACAAATTTCCATGGTGAAGAAATTTGCACAGTGCTTCCTCATTTATGAAATATTTTTGCTTCTATTACCTAAGGATGGGAGCTGTTGCTCATGGTCACCACTGAACCAAAGATTAACATAATGGAGCAATCATTTAAACACTGAGCAGTAAAAATAGTATGCATGTAAACGAAGCCATCAGGCAGAGAAACACTGAGAATAAGAACAGCGTAGCACTATAGGTAACGCGACCTGCACAGCCTAAAGTTTCCTTCACAGCCTGAAGTTTTCAGGCACAGAGTAAATGATAAGAGAAAGAAACACGTCTTCCTTAACTTTTAAAAATGATCTACTATGTATCTATTTATAGCTATGTAACACCTATCTACCTGCCTACCTATCTATCTAATTTCACAAAAGATCTGATGCAACATGAAATAATACAAATAATATTCACATTTAAATAAAGAAAAAGAGCCAATCAGAGTTAGAGGAACTATGGATGAAAAAGAAAGAGTTGGGTTAAAGACTGGAGCAGATATCCAGGCATCTGAGAACATACAAAAAATGTTAGGCCAGTTTATCAGCAAAAGGACATCTTTTCCTTCCACTTAAGCTTGAAACAAATTTCTCACATGAAACTTAAAATAGAGAACACTGAGTGAAAAAGTGGATGACATTCTTAATCATTTCCTTCCATATATGCAGCAGCAAAGAGCGTCGTGCTCTTTCTTCTAGTTCCCTGAAAGTCAGTTGGAGGCCCGTTGCCAAACCAGAAGTTTGCAGGATATTAAAACAATGTAGTTTCAGTCTGCAAGTCTCTTGGTTCCAGCTTTATCTAGGGGGAAATTCTAGTATTTCTGGCTGAGTCTTATTTTTTCAATTTTACATAATTTTTGGACCCCTCTTTGGAGAGTTTCGGTGAAGAGCTGAGCAGCTGGCAGGTCAGGGGACTTCCCTCTGGAGTGCAGGTGTGTGTGAGGTCCGAGTGAGAGCACAGCCTTTAAATGATGCCATGTGATAAGAGGACATTTTGTGAAAACAGAGGCACCTAATCAGGACTCTCAACTGAACGGACGGGCATCTCACCTCTCTACCAAGTCTCGCTCCTAGAACATGAACAAATAGTCCATGGGCCTGTGGTGAAAGGCCTAAGACTGATTTTATGTGCTGCCTTGACATCTGAAACTGGGAGGGCCTCGAATGCCTAATGACAATTGCCTCTCCATCCTCTTCTCCAGAGGACCAGACACAGTTCCCGCTTAGCCATGAGCAGCGGGTTTTAGTTCCAGGTCAGCCCATCATATTATTCAGACAGAACACTCACATCCTCCTGCAGGAACCACAGGGAACTCTACCTTCTGGATACTCCAGAGTTGGCCTCCCTTGGCCACTGGTTGGTTGTTCTGATTCCCAAGTGCAACCTCCAAATAACCCTGCATGGTGATCAAAACATGGCCCCAAAGTCATGGGGCTGGCCCAATGGCATAGTGGTTAAGTTCACACACTCTGCCTCGGTGGCCCACCATTCACTGGTTCAGATCCCAGGTGTGGACCTACACACTGATCATCAAGCCATGCTGTGGTGGCATCCCACATACAAAACAGAGGAAGACTGGCACAGATGTTAGCTCAGCGACACTCTTCCTCATCAAAAACACCAAAAACATGTCCCCAAAGTTATACCCTCAAGTATATTGAAGCAGCCTGTTCACCTTCTTGGCTCATCAAAACGCGTCCAGACTAGGGATGATAGCCAGTGGCTCTGTTGTCCTCATTCTCTTCTGTCCTCCACTGAAGAGGCAGCAGAGGAAGGACCTTTGTGAATTAGCCTCATCCTTCTCCCCACCCTCCCCATTCATTATTTTCTTCAGCCTTTCTTTTCTCCTCTTTCCCTCCAATTTTTGAGGTTCACTCTGTGCTGCTCTATGTGACTGATATTTTTCATTATTAAAAGTGTTCTCTTCTGCTCCAACTATCTCCATTCTAGTGATGAGCAACTCTTTTCTCCACCAGTGTTTCTCAAAGTGTGGTGTTCAGTCCACCTGCATCAGAATCCCCTAGAATCCTGGATAAAAGGCTGAGTCCTGGACTCCGTGGAACAGAGTCATTGAATGGGTGTCCTAAGGGTTTGCATCTTTAACATGCTCCCTTGGGGATGCTGTGGCACCTTAGGGCTACAGACCTAGACACTGGGTTACGTGACAGCAGCTACATCAGTGACTACATATGGCTCATACACCCAACTCTAGGATACCTTAGATGAGACCCAACCAGAGAGCCCGGCTGCCTTGAGAATGCAAGGACAATGTGCTCTGATTGCTGCCCCTGTTTTAATGGCTACTTTGTCTTTGTGCCCTGGCAAGAGATTCCATTGTCTTCTGTACTCCCCACCTCACACATATAGATGGAGAGACTAAAAATAGACCCCACCTGCACAGACCATCCCCAAATGGAGCTGCTTCCTTCTTCTGATGCCATGATCCAGGAACAATGCTCTAAAAACATTTGCTCTCAACTACTCTTGCTGGGAAATGACATGTGGGTTCAGGCAGCAGTGTGACTTTTTTTGTTAAAATACCATGTGAGGGGGAAAAAAACGAAACTGCAATTTTAGTCACATCTATTGATATTATATGCCAATCAAGGAAATTAGCAAATATTGAATATATTTTGGCACATTTGGTTTTTTATTTTCCTGGATTACTAGTCTATATTCAGAGCTTAATAATTATTAGTAAAAATTAATTCCTTGTTTCTCTTACAAACAATTTGACCCAGAAACAACAAGCTAAGTACAATCTTCATATATACTCAATGGTTTGCTTTCAGAGCATTGTGACGCAGTGCAACATATGTTCACACTGGAGGAAATGAATCTATAGATTACATTTACTAGTTTTAAATTAGATGTACTCTTGCAAAAGCAACAACTGACTTAAGATTTTTGCCAAGAAATTATGTATCAATGCTAATGCTAACAATTTCAGCAAAAGTGAAGAAGAAGAAAATGGCAGAGTCGCCATTTGCCTCAGTTTTTACACAATCCCTCTGCCAACCGTGTCTCCAATAAAAGCAACCTCTGCACAATCAATCTTACAAAAAAGAGGTTCCCCAAAAGTGCATTTACCATGAAGACTATTTGGAATACAAATTACTTCTGCTCTCATTATTGATTATCTCATCCCAAGTATATATTATGACTTGATATATTAAAGAATGTTACCAGTGCATTTTAAAAGTTTGGAGATCTCAGAATCAATTTTAAGATTCAAGATTCCTTTCATCAACCAGTAAATTCACATGACTACAGATCAACAATAAAAGTAAGTTGTCTTTTTTGTTTTTTTGTTTTTTGATGAGGAAGATTGGCCCTGAGCTAACGTCTGTACCAATTTCCCTCTATTTTGTATGTGGGACACCACCACAGCATGACATGATTAGTGGTGTGTGGGTCCACACCCAGGATTCGAACCCATGAACATCAGGTTGCCTAAGAGGAGCACACAAAGGTAACCACTACACCACCGGGCTGACCCCCAGAAGTTGTCTTTTTAAGTTGGGAATAAAACGAGCATCTCACAAGAAGTAGAGTGTAGAAATGCAGTACACAATCTAAAAGATCCCATGTTTTTTAGGTGCAGTTGCTTCCTTGGAGCATAAAATAAATTAAAGCCGATTACTCAGCCTGAGCCCAGTTGCAATTGGCTTCCCTTTTGATTTGTCCTTAAGATGCTTTTATAATAAAACTATTTAATGAGAGATCTGAGTATATGCTCTGTGGACAGAAGCTGGTTTCCTCTTAACTTTGGGAGATGACTCAATGAGACAAAACGTACAGAAGGGTTAAATAGACATTAGATAAATATTTGTGTGATTGATGCCTCACTGCGGGCCAAATGGAATTTTGGCAGACCAGATGGTTTTGAAAGGCATTTACTGTGCTGTGTATAACTCTCTGTAATTATATCAAAGAATCATCCTTTTGCTTTGAACCTAATAGTTTCTCATTGTCAAATGAACATCAACCTTCAGTTTAACCCTGTGTCAGGGGAAAGGTCAGAGAGAACAACTCCTTTAGGCTTTTTACAGTAGAGAAAGTATCATGTGCCCACATTGCTCAGGCCTCTAGGGAGCATGAAAGGTACTTTGGATCTGGGCTTTGGTATTTATATTTTATGACGCTTACTCAGAACTCAAAAGCATGTGCTAGACTCCTGAACGTATAAATGATTACGTATCTTCTGTTCTATATCACCACACTAACTACTGTAACCTGCCTGTTAAAATCAAATATTGGTTCATGGTTCTGATTACAGGCACAAGTCTAAGGCAACAGAGCTTAGAACTGAGTCCAATCATGCGAAATTGCCATTTCCGGAAAATAGAAATGGTCAAAAATCAGCTCTAGAGCCCAGTAATCCCGAATCCACCTTTCACCTGCCAATGCTGGTGAGCGGCTCTACTCCAGGACTGCCCGGCTCCAATGCCAGCTCTTAAACTCTTTGAATATTATATCTGCATTTATCACCCTCATAACTTTAATATCTCTAAAACCCTGGGCTAAAACTCTCCTGTGTTGAACTTAGCTGCTTAGAAGCCTCTGCAAAGAGAAGCTGAAGGCTAAGTTTTAGAGTCTTTCAAATGGAATATATTTACTTTCCAAAAGTGACCTATGCCTAACAAAGTCCAGAAATTTGTGACTGTATGGAAATGAAATTGATAGATGAATGCACAGATCACCGCTTAACCAAACGAATATATTTTTTCCTTCAAGATAGTCTCTGTGGGAGCCTGTACACTCATCCCCAAGATGAGGTTATTGTTTAAAATATAGTTGGTACCATTGTTGGCATTGCCCTGATAGCGAGTTCATAGAAAACATCCTCATTATCTTATATTCACACCCCATAAATCTGTTTACCTTGAGGTCCTCCAATGAGAGGCCAGCACCATATCCACCGCATGTTCAATGTATTTTAATAGTGATGAAAACACCAAAAGGTATGACCACTTCATCGTAGTTTAAAGACAGACTTTCTGGAGCTAAACAACTCTGGCTGAATGCCGGGAGCGTTTACAGACTCGTTTAGCAGGAAAACGTTGGTTGCAAATATTCACTAGTAAATGGAAAGAAAAGCGGGATAAGCATGAAAAAAATCATTACGAATGCGATTGTATTTGGGTATTTGGAGACTATTCCATACTATTTGCTAAGTAATTCTTAAATTCTGCTATATGATTTTATGGAAATTCACTAAAATTTGAACGTGAAAGAGTGAAAGTGACTTTGGATCTGTCAGTTCAGTCCCATATGAGCCGTCTGTGTTTGAGGGTTTTCTCCTGCCTCGGGGTGCTCCAGAGGTGCCCTTCCGCGGGACCTCCGCAGGCAGCCATGTATCTGCATACTCTTCCTGGCTTTCTGGCTAATAAGAGAGAGAGTTGAGGAGTAGAAGGTGGACCCTTCTTTATTTCCTTTCCCTTCAGGAAGTTCCAGCACCCAGATCAGCCTGTGTGTCAGCCAATTCACAGCCTCCCGTCAACAGCAGCTATTACTATGGCCTCTTGGATTCTTCCCACGAAGTTAACTTTTGACCCAGGGGTCAGTGTCATACACAGGAGTTGGCTCTTTTTTGGAGTGTTCCTTATCCACAGCCACCTAGTTTAGCCAATCTCTGTGAAATGACAATATCATGATTCCATTTGACAGAGACCCTCAAAGTCAGCCCAACCCGAGTAGACTTTATGTGGCCATTTTTATTGATCTGCAGTAGACAAGCTGATAAATGTTCCCAATAAAACCTTGTTCCTGTGGATTCTCTTGCATTCTTGATCTTATAGACAAGCAGTTCTTAAACAGCCTTTGCCCACACCACAGTCATCTGATTACTGGAACAAGAAAGGCAGAAGAAGAACTGGTGGGCCAGAGATGTGCCTAGACTTTCATCATCTCTTTTAATTGTATAGCTACGAGCTCTATAGCCACACTTACTGATGGGGTATCTTCCATGGAGATGTTATTTGTTGGATGTGTTAAAGAAGAAAAAAGGTTAAAGATAATCAACACCAACACCCACTGAGTTTAGAGAAAGTGCAATGATGCAAGGATGCCTGGGAGAGGTGATAAACGCATGCATAATATTCTAGGAGTTCCGGAGCAAGCAGCCTGGGATTGGAGTAGGGCTGCTCACCAGCGTTGGCAGGATCCACTTGTATTCAGGATTGCTTGGCTCCAGAGTCAATTTTCAACTGATTCTGGCTAAAAAAAGAAGAAGAAGGCCATTTCACATGATTCAACGTCATGCTAAGCTCTGCAGCCTGAGGTTTGTCATTGGTGCCCACTCCATGTTCCAGGTCTTCCCCCTCCGACACCAACCCTCTCCACATGCCAGCGGTTGAGGGGCCTTTCCCTGGATCCTCTATTTTGCATTGTCCTTAAACTCTGTTCCCTCTCCCTGCATCACAATCCAATGTTCTCCACTTAGAGATCACACTTAAGAGTTGCTACAGCTTCAGGTATTACTCAGCTTCCACCCCCAGATCACAATTTAACCCAAAGGGATTCACAATAGGAGAATTTTAATTAGACTAGGAAAGCAGAGAGGATAGCTTGGGATAGATCTGTGGTGATGGGGGCACCTTTCTTAGACCCCAATTCTAATCACAGCCAGGTGGCTGCTACGTCATCTAGAGGAATGACCAACTTTTCATAAGGCCTCTTTTGGATGATTATGACAATGGAGAATATATTACATTGTTTTCCAGGTCACACTCAAGACGTGTATATTTTTGTTACTCATTTGGCAATGGCTTTAAATAGTGTACCTGGAGAGGCATTTTGAGAGCAGGGAGTTTACCTATGAGATAATTTCTCCTCTTTGTCAGCTGTGGGGCCATTTTTTGGCACAAGATGTATGCTGTTACGATATTGCAACCTACGGGGTTAAAAATAACTCATGATGTCAAACCCTCAGCCCAGGAGTGCTGCCCTCACAAGATAATCTGCCACGAGGGGGAGCAGGGTGGGTCAGGCCCAGAGCCTCAGTGGAGACAAAAATAGAGTGCTAATGGCCTGTGGTGACATGGAAGAGAGTGGGACGTAGACAGATATATTTATAAAGAAAAATGGCTCTAAGCATCTGCTAAATCCCCTTTCTCTTATTTTTCCTATGTCTATTTCTGGCTTCTCTTTCCATAGCACAAGCAGCTCCTCAAAATAAAGAGCCTTGCTCCTGCGTGCCCTGGCCTCCAACGGAGCTCTGAAGGAGGCAGGCCATGAATGATGATTGTCTGTGTCTGGAGTTTTAATTGAAAAACATTCCCAGAAATGGAAAGACTCACGGAGGAAGTGATCTCATCCTCATTGATTTCCCCATCTTTCAGTGTTGGGTCTCCATGGTGGAACCTAATACAGTAGCGCCCCTCAGTGGTGTCAGCTGGAACTGCAGGGGCAAGCTGGCTGGCTGCTAATGAGCTCTGTGACTAGGAGACAGAAGCCAGGGAGACAACATTTCAAAAGGTTAGGACTTCTCTCTGAGGGGAGCTGAGAGAAGCTTCTGCCTTCTGTGCTTCTCTCTAGACCCACATTTTACAGTTTATAATCCACTGGAAGTGGCTCCACTTGAGCTTCAGGTTTGTAACAGATACACAGGAGGAAGGTGAGGCAATGAAATGCTGCACATGAATTTGCAACTTCTGTCCAGAAACAGAAAAACTAAATGAAAATTGTGTTACCCTCCACTCAGATAAGATTCTTGTGAAGCCAAGTTTACTTGGGAAAATGTATTAATGGGATTCTTTTGTGCTCATCGTGTGTGACTCCACCTACAATATAAACACATTAATCACTGTGATCAATCATCCTAAAGATCTTAGAGTAAACTCATTCATCAAAATTCAATTTTTCTTCCTCTTTTTAAGGAAAAACCTCCTATATACAAATCCGAACTCAGAAAAGCAAAAGAGTAGATTGTGATTCTGCCTGTTGTGGCAGAGATAGAGATAAAAGTGCTCAAGGTTATTTATGTTCATATTTTTACTCCTACCTTTGATGCATCCACAAGAATAACATTTTATTTCTCCCCTTAATTTCCAAATTATAAACCTCGAGAATGTAAGTAAGGGATTTTATGAATTGCACAAGTCATGGGATTTGATCCCAAATCTAGATATATCTCTAAAGATTCTAACCAAAGAATTTGTTTGCCTCTCAGAGGAATAAGGGAAGGGATACCTCTGAAGCAGATGAGGGAAGCGTTCGCAATCCGTGTTTTCAACTCTGCCTGGTCAGGAGATGGAAGTATTGAAGCTTCTAGTGGTTAAAGAATAGCCTCGTAGAGAAGGTACCAAGAGAGGCCATGTGGCTTCCAAAACAAGACCTTGCAAGGTGACACCTGATGTGGTTCCAAGATGTCTTGGACCTGAAGCTTTCAAAATATGTTTTGCCAATTTCACAGGGGTGCTCTGACTCTTGGGGACAGAGTTGCATTAATGACACTTGAGAGGCTGATCTATAATCCAGAACTCCAAATATACAACAACAAATAAAACTGCCAAAATGAACTTGAAATGTTGTTTTTAGCTGATAAACATCTTCTCTCCTTAGAGAAAAGCCACATGGGGAAGATGGATTATAACTGGAAGGCAGTTTGGTGATCATGGCATCAAAGCATTGAGGGTGAGGGAGGAAATGGCATGATCCCAGCGGCTAATATCACTGAGCTATAATAACCTGGCTCACCATCTTGGCTGGGGTAAGCCTGCCAAACTTTCTGGGAGGCCTGTTGTCTTGGGTGGGGCTCTCCAGGAGCAGACAGACTCGGAGACAAGAATTCACACTCAAGTGATTTTTCAGAATGTGTTTCCAGGAAAAAGTGGTAGGTGAGTGGGGAAGTGGGACAGGAATGGGAAGTGAGCTAAGCAAGAGTGAGTTATCAAGCACAGTTGGGTTCAGTCCCACAGACAGCTCTGGAGACAATGGAGTTCCCACATCAAACTCTCAATCAAGGCGTAGGTTGCTGGAGACCTTACACTCCCAATACCCGCAGTCATTGGATAAGAGGCACCCAAGTGTGGAGGCAAAACAGGATCTGGCAACCTAAACTCAAAGTCAGCCCTGACCTAGTGTCAGCACTCAGACAAAGAGATGCAAGCTCTGGCTGCTGGAAATGAAAACACACCAGAAGACCAAGTGCACAAAAATGGAAAGGGATCCACGGGGATGTTCGTGGGGCACTGGCATGATCAGCTATATCTCTCTGGAAGATCTGTGCACCCTCCCCAGGACTGTTCTGGGCTGTCACAGCTTTACTCTCCACTACCTAAGGTTTTGAGCACCCCATAGAGGACAGTCCCTTCCTTAGCTATATCCTGCTCTCTGAACGTGGGGGTTCATAACCTATATCCACTCTTTTATCAATTATAACATAGAGTGACTTATCCGACATATACTTGAGCTTGATTTTTGCATGTCCACACATCCTTATTTTGTTCTCAGAGAAAAACCTTGTGATTATCACTCCAGGTACAAAGATCCTACACTGCATAGAGGGGGAACAAAGGGGATTGGGAACCACACTGTGGAGTTGGTCACATCTCCCAGTGGACCAGAATTATGGGACTAGGGGGTGAAAGTCATTTAAATAAAGAAGCTTACTGAAGTAAATGTTTACTGCGTCCTCCTCTTCTCTAAAAAGACAGTCACAGACTCTAAATATTTCATCTTTGACTTTGACAGACTGCGAGCAGAAATTACCCCCAGGAGAAAAGCCATGCAAGAAAAGGGGTAACGAGTGGAAAGCACCCCACAAAGACCCTTTGCCTGTGTGCCCAGGGGTCTTGGAACCCCACATAGATAGAGTCAGACTTGTCAAATCCTTTCTTCCTCAGCCTCAGGAAGGGAGCCCAACTTTACATATAATATTTTATCCAACACTTCCCCTTTCCCAACACACACATTTTCCACTCTGGAGGCATCCCATTCCCATTTCTGCTGCACTCCTGACCCCTTTTTTGGTGTAAAATTCTATTATTTTATTTCCAGGGAAAATTTTTCCTAACTAGTTTAAAGTGAAAAAGACATACTTTATGACGAAAGGACAAAAGTCTTTCTCAACCTAGATATTTCTAATACTCTCCCACAAGGGTCCAAAGTGGAAGATTATTTAAATCAGCCATTGGTGAATTTCTATCCAGCTTCCTGGACACAAAGGACAGAGCAACAGCTTGAGCTGGTTATCACCAGCTGGTTATCTCTTTTGCTTCAGATCAAAGAAGAAATGAAGAGAGGAAAGAAACGGTGCAGTTAGCAAGAAAAGGTTTCTTAATCTTGAGGGTAGATGGAAATACTCTCAGAGAGGGCTGCATTTCAGTATCAGCTCTGCTGAGCTGTACCAAGGCTTCTGAGCTCTGTTCCTCTCCTTCACCGAGTAACAGAGGAGAATTGGAAGTATTCCAGAACGTGCAGCTTCAAATCCTGTGCTAGGCCCCAGGAGCCAATGCTCAAACCCCACTGGGGTTAAGCAGAGGGAGGGTGAGCACCTGTGAGGTATGGGGTTGGGTTTCCTGACTTGTGCCCCTTGTTGCTATGGTTTGGGCCCAAGGGAAGTAAGTGGAGAAGAGGTTAGAGCTTTCCCTATTGACATCCAGGACCAGACAGTGAAAGTGCTCCTTATTCAAGATTTATAAGTCATGGTGGGGCTCATGCTAGGACTTAGTTTCCATAATTTCTTGTATGCTTTAAAGAAACTTTTACTAAAATCTCATTCCCATACTTTGTGGCCAATGCCCTGGCAATTTGGGAATTGGAGCCAGCCAATTGTGCTGACTGGTGAAGAGACCAATTCAGAGCTCAAGGTGAGGCCTCAAGTCCAACAAAGTGTGACACCCCCAGAAACTCTGAACCTCAGTATGCGTGGGTGCTTGCAACTCAAGGAGCCAGATGCCAATTTTTGTTTGTTTGCTTGCTTTTTGGTGAGGAAGATTAGCCCTGAGCTAACATCTGTTGTCAGTCTTGCTCTTTTGCTTGAGGAAGACTGTTGCTGAGCTAACATCTGTGCCAAACTTCCTCTATTTTGTATGTGGGACACCACCACAGCATAGGCTGATGAGCGGTGTGTAGGTCAGCACCCAGGATCTGAACCCACAAACCCTGGGCCACCTAAGTGGAACACGCAAACTTAACTACTAGCCACCAGTCCGTCCCCCCAAATGCCAATTTAGCATAGTCAAAATGTTGAGGATTTTTCTGCCTGGAATGCCTCCACCCTCCTCTTCCTTGCCCACTCTTCTCCATATGCCACCTCTGAGTCTATAACTCCTTTAAGATATTTAATATCCAACTCAAATCTTTATTTCTCTATAACTCCCCTGTCGCAAACCTTTCCATCCTTGGAGCCTTCATAACTTGAAATGATTTCCTATGAAATTTGTTTTTGTCTATCATGTAAGTGCCTTGACTTTACTTACTATCTCAACATCTATGGAGTACCTCTCTGTGCTTTCTATTCTTCATCATTAAATTGAGGATAATAATAACAGCACCTGCCTCTGTGGGTTGCCATGATGATGATATGAGGTGCTAGAACGGAACCAGACAAATGGTAAATGCTTTAAAAAGTTAGCAATTATGATGACAATGTTTATTGTTATTATAATAACCTGATGTGGTCTCAATAAATATTTTAGAATAAATGAATAGAAAAAAATAATTATTAATTACCCAGAAGCATGGGTGACTTGAAAACCCAATCAGTCCTGGGTCCCAGACGCCTCTAAGGATTATTCTGTCATCATCGCTTTCAACTGGAGAGTCCAGATTGTGTCTTGTTAGGTCTGTGTGGTGACCTCCAAAGAGTCACATGCCTGTTAGAATCCCAGGTAAAGTTAAATAGGAGAGACCCAAAGACACTGAAATCTCCTCAGAAGGAGGGGAAGTTTCCATTAGCTTTATCACTGTTGGCTCAGACTAATAGTGGTTTCTGCTGCCGTGGATGTTTCTTAAATCATATAAATTTGAGACTCTAGGAAATGACAAGGAGCCTTACTACTCAATTATAACACTGGTTGTTATATATAAACCCAGGAGACTTAGACCCTCTTGAAATTTTTTTTGAATAAGGGCTGACCATAATCACCTTATCAGTCATCACTGGTGTGTTCAGTTTGCATGATATTTGTTGGTTCTAGTGATTTTTTTTTTTGCATTATTCTATGTTACATGTTCTTTCTCCTTCAAGAAAAGGCAGTCAACTCTTAGAAGGAACTTGACCATCTGGATTTCTCTTGTATCCATTCTTTCATAGGATGTGACAGACCAGTGCGTTTCAAGCATTGGTGATGGGATCACGTGAGGACTTTGCTATAAATGCAGATGTCAGAGTCCATCCCCAGGCTTTCAGACTCAGTGGCACTGCCCAGAAATATGCATGTTAAACAGGACCCATAAGTTATTAGAAAGCAAGCATCCTCTGATCTTTGTG